GGCCCCGGAGCGGCTCTAGCCCCGCAGGCGAGGAGGGCCTGGGTGGGAGCCCGTGGACTTTTGCCAAGGAGGGCGGAGGGGGCAACTCGGCGAAGCTTCCCCCCCCCCCCCCCCCCCGGGCGCCCCCTACGGCTTCCGGGACCGAGCCACCAGCCCTCCCTTCGGCCAGGGGATGCTGGGAGTTTTCCATCTTCCAGGGTCTCTAGGAAAGATATTTCTTTTGAAGGGAAAACTTCCGGGGGGCTGGATCCAGGTCTGTCTGAGTGCAAGACGAGGGTCCCCGCCTCTGCCACCACGAAGGCTCTTCTTGCACAGCGTGTGGCGGTTGTGCCCGTGGCCCTCACGCAGCGCACGGCGGCGTGCCCCCTGGGCCCTTCCCGCCAGGCCACCCTGTCTGTGCCTTGCCAGCCCCACTGCAAGAGAGGTTGCGGGACCTTTCCTTTCCCCACTCCTGTGTCCAACTCGGGTTCCTTTTCTGTTCCCTTCCTTCCGCTCCCCGCCAGGAATCCAAAAACCACTTAGCTGGCCTCGGGGCCCTCGGCCTGGGGAACCTCATCACCGAAATCACAGCCAGTGAAGACGAAGCTTCCGAAACGGATGGAGCCCAACTGGACGAGGAAGGTGAGGCCTTTGACCAGCGATGGACTCGGGAGCCCAGAAGAACGGCTTTCTGGTTCCAAGTGGATAAATCAGGGCTCTTCGTGGCGTTTTCAATCTCCCTTCCCATCAGCAATTTGCACTGAAGAATGAAAGCATGGGTTTCTTCTCTCGGCCTTATTAGGCCTGCCAAAGAAGCTCCCTGCTATGAGTTTAGTCACTGATGAGAAACCAAAGGGACCCCCCCCCCAGTTCCAGTTCCCTGTTGAGGGCGTTTTGGAGAAAGACGTCTTACAGCAGACTTGGCAGGCGCCTGTTGGAAACCTTTCATGCTTGGTTCCAGGCATTATTCCCTTCACTCTCTGAGATTTAATGCTAAATCCAGGAGACTTACCAAGCAGGCCCTGCGGAAAAAATCCTGACACAAAGGAATCTTGTCTAGGAATCTCGCAAATCGAACAAGTAAACCACATCCCAACTGTGTCTTTTCATCCTTCTCTCCCCATTTCTTTGCCTTGCTTTTTACCAGCCTTCCCATGGATAGAATAAATGCACTTGATATTAAGGTCTTGGGAATCCTCTACTCCAGTGTGTGGGTCTTCTTGACTAATGTGTGCACAGAGAATGAGGCAAGGAAAAAAACATTAGCTGAGGAGTCTCTATCTCATTATGTTATTGGGTGTTTTCTTTTGCTTTACCTTCTCCCAGGTTGGGTTAAGAGCACTGACGATGCTGTTGATTATTCTGACATTAACGAGGTGGCTGAAGATGAGAGCCGCAGGTACCGGCAGGCGATGGGCAACCTTCAGCCTGTTCAGAGGGCAGGTAATTGGCGGTAGATGCATCCCCCCCCCTTTGGCACAGCTCTTTACATTGAGACTGGCTGATCTTTTTCTAGTTAGTAGGTTTGTGCTTTGGAGGAATTGGGGTTGCCTGTTGAAAGCATTTTTATTATTAAGCATTTTACTCCACCACCCGCTCCAGTTCAGGAGACCCTTGCCATGAGGGTTGCATTCAATGATCTCTTAGCTGTAGGTCTCTCAGTACTTGGTACTTTTTTCTTGGTGAATGTGGCCACAGGGAAAAGGTTTAGAAACATGAGCAAGCTCCCTGAATTCATGTTCCCGTTTCAAACCTTTTAATGCAAAAAGGACTTAGGAGTTGCTCCTTGAAGGGCTACAGCCTGCAAGCACCTCCCCCCCCAACCCTTTTATGAGGTTGAGGGTAATTTGAAGAGAGCGCCTTATCGGTGTTTACCCTCTGCTTACCTAAGACCCTTTTGCATTTCGGCAGGCTTTGTAATCAATGTTAGGGTGATGACTTTATGCTCTGAGGGATTTTATTGATCTTATAGTTGCTGCTTTTGTATTTGTATCTTTGTGTTATTTTTCCACTCCCTATTTCTAAGAAGAGTTCGTTTACTTAACCGCTGTACAGAACAATGCAGCATCTGATGAGGAACAAAAGGGGCCTTCACATGTGATAAGTAACGCAGCTCCTTAAACAAATGAGCAAACAAAAGAGGTTTGGTCCTTAGCCAGATGCTCATCAAAGGATCACACATAGAAGCAGCCATTTTTGTTTTGTGGCTTTTCGTTTTCAGTGTTTTGTTAACAAGTCTGTAAACTGCTCTGGGGTTACCTACTAAAGGGAAAGACAAAAGCGAGCAGAGGCATGAATAGCTATGTGGGGCAAACCTGGGGTGGAGCGGGGAGATGGCCACTGCTTTGGATAAGGGAGGGTACCCTGGCCATGCAGCTGGAGGACAGTGGGGGCCCAGCAGGGGTGGGGTGGGGGGGGTCAGGCTGCCCTGTGAGTTTCCTCTTTGCTCTTCAGATGACGACGACTACGATGCAGATTCTGAAGACATTGATTCCAAGCTGATGCCTCCTCCTCCCCCGCCTCCAGTACAAGCGAAGAAAGAGGACGAAAAGGAAGCTCCTTTCTCTGGTGCGTGGGGACCCTTAGCCGCGGCCCCTGAACCCTGGATCCCAGGCGGATTAACCTGCAAACACTTACACGTTGAAGTCGAGAGAGCCTTTGTTGCCTTAAACCCCTTGTGGCTTTTAAAAATAGAAAAAAAGCTGAAAGTTAGTCCTTTAGCCTCGTTTCTGAAGCTCAGCGCTTAGTGGCTCTGTCTGAGGATGGTCAGCCAGGCGGAGGGCTGGAAGAGAAGGGGGCCCGGAAGCGTTGGTAGTGCTGCTCCGGAAGAATGTGTCTTTGTGTTTGCATGAGAAGGTGATGATGCTGGATTACTCCCAGGTTCATTTTGTCCAGGAGAGCACTACCGACAGCCCTATGTACAGGATGCTGCTCTGCTCGTGGCCCCATCAGCCCCAGCAGCATGGCCCATGGTGTGGCAGGATAGGAGCTGAAGTCCAGCACTGGGAAACAGGGCTGCTTCTGAACTTGTACAGCGTTTTGTCCCCCAAAGCAGCCAAGCTTATATTTTGGGGAGGTTGACAAACGGGACGCATCATCTCTTGCTGCCACTACCATTTTTTGGTCTCCAGCCTAGAGTACTGCAGTCAGAGCTTGGAGAAGTTGCTAGTTACAGGTTGGGATCTGTTCAAGAAGGTTTCCTTGGCTTTTCTCCCCCACTGTGCCCTGGTTTTTAAAAAACGTATGCTTGAGATGCCCAGGTTGCATTTTGTGGCTCAGGGGCTTTTGAATCTTTGCATTTGCCCTCCTACTAAGCGTATAGAGAAGAGGGTCTGGTGTCAGGCTGAGTGCCTTGCTCTCTTCCAGGGTCCGAAGATGGCGATGGCATCATTCTGCCCTCCATCATTGCTTCTTCTTCCGCGGCCTCCGAGAAGATGGATTTCAGCAGCTCTTCGGATTCCGAATCCGAGATGGGGCCCCAGGATTCGCGGAAAGCCGAGTCCAAGGAAGGCAAGCTGACGTTGCCCCTGGCGGGGATCATGCAGCGAGATGCCACCAAGCAGCTGCCCAGTGTGACTGCGCTCTTCCCTGAGTTCCGACCAGGCAAGGTAGGCTTCAGGGTGAGACCCAGCGCAGTGACCGCCTGCCTGAACAGCTTTGCAGTAGCTAGGAAGGAGGGACGTATTCTCCACGGCTTGTGCTTCCAGGATCCTGGGCTACTCCTGCGTCTCCACCTTTCCTCCCTACTAGTCATGACCTGAGCTTCTTTCTAGGATTTTTCTCTCGCCTTCCTGCCCTGGGGCCTGACCCTTTCCTAGCAGGCAGGAGGGTTTAGCTCCAAGAGAACCCTGTGCTTCCAAAGAGGGCTCCCAGCACATTAGGGGCATTTCCTAGAGGCATGTGCCGTGATGGTGGGATGCTCAGCCCGCCAACCCGCTTCCTCCTCTGACTGTTTGGTCCTCTCGCCCTCGCTGGCCCTTGTATGTAGCATGGTTTGGTCATCTAGGTCCGAGTCACTTCTTGCCCAGCCAGGGAGGTTTGCCCCTCAGATGGCCTCTTCCTGCTCCCCTCAGGTGCTGCGCTTTCTCCGCCTCTTTGGCCCCGGGAAGAACGTCCCCTCGGTTTGGCGCAGCGCTCGCCGAAAGCGCAAGAAGAAGCACCGGGAGTCAACTCCAGAGGCCCAGAGCCAGGAGGGAGAAGCCACGGCTGAGGCTGGTGTGGAGCGAAAATCTCCCTGGGAATACGAATATGCTCCTCCTCCTCCTCCAGAGCAGTGCCTTTCTGACGACGAGGTGAGGCGGTGGAAACGGAAGCCGTTCTTTGCGGCTGGGGAGGCGGGTGAGGAGTTGGTTGGAAGGAACTTGCTTTGCCCTCCGGAGGTAGCGCCCGGGAGCATTTTGCTTGCCCTGCGGGAGGAAGAGGACGTGCAGGAAGGACATGGGCGCCAACAGGGTAGTAGTCAGAAGGGAGGGGGGCCCTCCTCCGGTCTCCTCACCTGGGTCCCTTCTGGCCTTCCAGATCACCATGATGGCCCCCGTGGAGTCCAAGTTCTCCCAGTCGACCGGAGATGCGGACAAAGTGGCCGACACCAGGCCCAAGGTGGCCGAGTGGCGCTACGGGCCCGCCCAGCTCTGGTACGACATGCTGGGCATCCCTGAAGACGGCGGCGGCTTCGACTATGGCTTCAAGCTGAAGGAAGACGCCGAGGAGAATGAGGTGAGCAGAGGGAGGCCGGGCGGCCAAGGGCCAGCACTGGTCCCGGGCCTCCTGGGTGGGGGCACCCTCTGTGGTTTTAATGGGCAGCTGGTACCTCCTGCTTGGGCAAGGCCTCTGCCCTGGAAAGTGAGATGTGGGGAGCAAATGTAACAGGAGCCTAGAACACCTCTTCCTTCTCCAATTCAAGGTGGACCGGCCATGTTTAGCTTTAGGCACAGCTTGAAAACAGACCTGTGTGTGTGTGCAAGGATTCTCTGCACAGGGGAAAAAATGCCATTATTTTTGTGTGGGCTGCACAAATAGCCCATCTTAATTAGTACACTGTATATTTGCCTATTTCAGAACAGGGCAGAGGTCAGCTGCCCCCTTGGCTGTTTTTTGTGCCATTTGCGGTTCCTGCCTGATTTCCTGTTGCCCTTCTTTAGAATGGTTCTCTCCTGAAAAAAGAAGAGAATAAAGGGGTTTAATTGCCACTCCTAGACGTCCTCAGGCATGGCAGTTTACCTTCGAAGCAGGTTGCAAGGCTCTTCAATATTTAACTCTCCCACATCCTCATTTTTGATACAGGAAGTGGACCGCCATCCCCCTTTTTTTTTTTTTGCTTCAGCCCCCCCCAATGCCATCTGTGCAGCCTTAGGAGGATCCGAGTGGCAGGGAAAAAAAGGGCTCTGAACCCACAAGAGGTTTCTGGCCCGAATGTGATCCATGGTGTGGGTGGCTATGTTTTTCGTATTACGGCACGCCCCTTTGGCTTTTCCAGACCCAACGCTTGGGTTCGTCAAGGCTTGCGAATGACTCCGGGGTGTGTGTGTGTCTCATTGTCTTCTGCAGAGCAACGAGGCTGAGAGGGATGAGCTGCTTGCGGACGAGCACTTCCTCATGGTCACCCAGCTGCAGTGGGAGGACGACGTGATCTGGAATGGGGAGGACATCAAGCACAAGGGGACCAAGACGCAGCGGGCCAGCCTGGCAGGCTGGCTGCCCTCCAGCATGACCCGGAACGCGACTGCCTACAATGCACAGCAAGGTAGGCTGGCCCTTTGGTCTGTCCTGAACCCTTCCTCCCTTTGGCACCAGCGGCCGTCTGCTGGGTTTAATGCTCCCTTTGTTTACTTTATCAATTCATAACAGAGTCTCTGACCTGCCCCAAAGTTGGCAGATCTCAGAATGCACACTCAATAAAGTCATCACAAGTATCCAAAACAATTCAGAGGTGTCAAATCCCATTAAAATGTTTGCAAAGACTTGAAAACAACGGGCTAATGCAAAGAAAACAAAACCCACCAACCTGAACACTTGAAAACCAGGCCGCGATCTCTTCCGTGCCAAATGTTGAAGTGAACGGCCTGGTTTCAGCTAATGATAGAATAACAGCAATGTCGGTGCCTGTCGCCGGCCATCGGTGGGAGGGCGTTCCATTGCCAGGGGAAAGTCCTCCTCCCCGATCTTCATGCAGCATTTCTCTGCGGCGGGACTCCTGCCACATCTGTCTGGTTTCTGCTTCCAGGTTTGAACCGCAGTGGCTCTCTGCTCAACTTGCCTGTTCCTCTGGTGCAGAAGCCCAGCATGGGAGGAATCTTGGGCCTTGCCAAGGGCAAAGAGAAGCAGCTCCCAGACCAGCAAGGTAAGGAGGCAAAGCGGCTGATGCCGGGGGCGGGGGTGGGGCAGGCAGGGAGGCGTTCTGTGCAAGGGGTCCGGCAGCAGGGATTTCTCAGCGAAATCAGTCTGCTCTCTATTTTTAAAGAGCATGTATTCTCGTTTCTCCTCTGCTGTGGTAAAACAGCCCTTTCAGTTGCAACTGCAGAGCACTATGACTCTGATAGGGTCTCCTTCTTAGCTCACTGCTTTATGATTCAGGGAACAAGAAAGAATCTGGATAGGTTATAATACCCCAAGATTAATGCCCTGCCCCCCCAATGCAGACAGGAAAATGTCTTTTTGCAGTATTGATTATCCCCCTTGGGATTTTTTTTTCTTGCTTCACCACTGTCATTTTCCATAACTGGTTTTCCAGTGTAGGCTGAGCAGGCTGGCTCTTCAGCGGCAGCTGGGCGAAGCTGTCTTCCTGCTGCCTCGTTGGAGTCCAGGACCTCGCTGAGCCCGGAGCGATGAGGCTTGAAAGGGCTGGTCCTTCTTCTGAGAAGGGATAACAGAAGGATAGGATCTTGATGGTATTCCCACACACCCTTGGCAAATGTGCCCTTTTATTCTGTCGCGGCAGCCTCTCTGGATGAAGACAAGCCCTGGTATTCGATCTTCCCCATTGACAATGAAGAGCTGGTTTATGGCCGTTGGGAGGACAACATCATCTGGGACGATGAGGCCATGCAGTCCGTCCTGGCCCCGCCGGTCCTGACCCTCGATCCGAATGACGAGAACATCATCCTGGGTAGGTCCATGGAAGCTCTGCCATGCATGGCCCGTTGGGGACAGGTATTGGAGGGTGGAGGCCTGCGGGGGCACAGTGGGCCGGGGGGGGGGAGGATACCTTTTTGCAGCACAGAAGGTTTCCTGGTGTTGTTGAGGAAAGCCCAACTCAGGTGAGCTGAAGAAAGACCTGCCTTTAAAAAAGTGGTCTCTTAAACCTTGTTAATTTAATTTTCCTTTTCTGTCTTCCTTTGTTTTCACCACTTGTGCAGTTTTTTTTCCTGTTTTAGATTGTTTTGCTTGTTATGTTTTAATTACAGTGTGTGCTGTTCTGGGTATTTTCATACTGAAGAACAGCAGATTAGATTAATGGACAGACAGACAGACAGACTTTCTGTCTATGGTTTCAGCAAAATTCTGAGAGCCTTTGTCTCCCAGCTTCTTCAAGGAGTTACAGTTCACATTCTCTGACAGAATTTGTAGTCCTCTCAAAAAATGGTATTTGCTAAGGTTATTTTGAAGGAGCCATGACAGTTGAATGAGTTCTTCCCCATGTTTTTAAAAGCATATTGTAGGTGCTTCTGTACGCCAATCAGGCATGGAAACGGCATTGCAGAAGCACAGGATGAGATGGGCCGTGTCGTATGAAAGAGCCCACGGGGTGGCTCAGGAGCCTTTGGCGAGCGCTCCCTCCCTGGGGTTTTAGGGTGGAGGTGTCCCTTCTCCCCCTGCTTGGCCCCTGAGCCACTTCCCCGTAAAAGTCCTTTAAACTTCTCACGATGTCCGTTCAGATGGCTGTTTGTTTTTAATCCTTTTGCTCATCCTTGTTCGGCTTCCTTGGTGGTGTTGCTGTGAAGACTGGAATCTGGGGACAGCCTCTCAGGGACCCCCTTTGGCTTCTGTGTCCTCTTGTAGAGATTCCCGACGAGAAGGAAGAGATGACCTTGAATTCTCCTTCCAAGGAGAACAAGAAGGAGTCTTCTCTGAAGAAGAGCCGGATCCTCCTGGGGAAGACCGGAGTCATCAAGGAAGAGCCTCAGCAGGTCTCTTGGGGG